CTATATAAATTAAATAGTTTTACTAATAATAAAAAATTAAAATTGAAATATATTAACTGTTCTTTATATTTATTTGTATATTATTGGCAACCATGATTATTTATTTATTTATTTATTATATATATAGATTTCTTTCTATAATGAAATTATTGTAAAATATATTTTCATTGATGAGTATGCTAAATAAACTATAAATCTTTATAATACAAATTTAAAAAATCTTGATAAAAGAAGAGACTGAGTTTTTGGCATTTCGTAAATCAAATTTGTTTTATGGGTATACAAAATTAAATTAAAAAAAAAAACATGTGTGTATATTTTGTAAAACATTTATTCACTATTTAATTTTAAATCTATTTACATATTTTAAATCTTGATTATATAAATAAATAATACTAACGTGCATTAAATATTTTTCATTACATAAAATAAAAAGAAAAATAAGACGTAGAAGTTTTATAACTTTTATAAATAAAAATGACATTATATGACAACAAAGTTTAAAATAAACTAATAATTAAGTATTATATGCTGAACAATAATAAGTAAGAGAATTTCCAATGGTTGAATGTCTATTTTGAAATGAATGGTGTGGAGAAAGGGAATAAAAATATTTTGTCTTCAATGGTTAATGTCAATTGTGTAACAATTTGATAGATGTAAGATAATAATTGAAGAAAAAAATATTTAGACCTGTTCTATTTTATATCATATCATTTATTTTATATTTTTTTCTACATCTAGAAAGACTTCTACATTTTTAAATGCCACATTGAATTTTTGGAGCTAGGTGACAATGAAATAGAGCAATCCATTTACAATTGGAGATGCTCTAAAACTTTTATTTTTTCTTATATCAATGAATAAATATATATACTAAAATCAAATTTATATTATTATAAAAGTGCTAGTGAGGTAATATTTTAATTATTTTACAAGTTATCTCTAACATGCTCATATTTAATGTTCTGTCTAATTGATTAAAAGATGTGGAAAATATATTATAATCCTATTGTTTAAAAGAGGTTGAAAATAGATTATAATCCTATTATTTTCTACACTTAACGCTAATTAAAATAGGTGGAAAATAAATGATAACCCTATTGTTTTTTAAGACTTAAATGGACAGAGCCTGTGAAAATAACTCATTTAATATCTTCCTCCCGTGCATCGCACGGGGTACGTACTAGTATGATTTGGATATGTGTATATGCAAGCAATTAATACATTTAAAAAAATTCCAATAAAGGTATGTTCTAAATGTTCTCAAATATTTTACTAATGTGTTTAGTAAATCTTATTCTCTTTATTTAAACTAGCGCATAACCCGTGTGATACACAGGGAAACAATATTCAATGACGATTGTAATATTAGATTATGGGATACACGTTAACAAAATATAACACGTAGAGAATTAGAATAAAAGATAACCACATATATGTCTACATATTTGAAAATAAATTTGAAAACACAACCATTTGCTTTTGGAAATCTACATTGTCAACATCTTTGGTCTTCCCATGAATAACGAATTTTAATTTTGCGATAGTAGACCGTTTTTTTACCAATGTTACTTTTTAATTGATAATTGCGAATGACATATGTTTCACCTCCCCATACTTGTCGTCCATTTTTGGAATATTAACGCCACGAATTAGTACAGTTATGCGGCTACCCTATAAAAATCTCAATACAAAAATAAAATTTTCAAGAAAAAATAAATATTGACAACTACTATTAAATCACATAATGAATAATACTAACCTCGCTATCGCGGAAAGCTATTTTCAAATAACTTCGGGAGGCATTAAACGTCATATTAAAGATGCTGCTGGAAGTTTCAACATGACCCTCGTACTTCTTTTAATATCCTTTATTAGGCCAAAGGTTGGTTAATGACTTTATTTTGAACGTGTGATTTTTTTTATTGTGATTTTGGAGATTTTAAGCAAATTTTAAATATTATATATTTATCTATGAAAATCTAAGATATTTCGAAATTAGTTATTAGAAAGGTTAGGATTATGAGAATTCCATAAACTATTTCTCTTTTTTTTTTTCTTTTTAATATATGTTAATTTTTTTCAAATTCAGATGTATAACGCATTTTTAAATAATTTGTGCATATTTTTTTTCAAGAACAAAACATCCAAATATTTAGCCGCTAATGTTTCTATATTCTATGCTTCTTAAATAATAATCAACATTATTTTAAAATATTTTTCGTGTTTAAACTAAAAAAATAATTAGAAACTTAGTCGCAAAATTCTGATATATGAAATTGTTAAAGAAACGAAAGAAAAACACCACAATTTTTTTTAAAAAAAAATTGAAACGCAAAAAAGAAATATAAAAATAACAGGTAAGAACACATTTAACAAAAAAAAAAAGCGTAAACAATAGCCGATGTAAAAAAACTAGGCAATTCTTTTAAAAGAAAGAATCAGTTTAAAAACGCAAAAAGGAATATAAAAACATGAGAAATGCTATGGAGCCAATTGTTGACTCCTTTATGGAGCCAACCACCAATGTTATAGTGCCACGTAGGCCATTGTGGCGTTAATTATTTTTTCACATAAAGCCTACGTGACAGTATAACATTGGTGGTTGGCTCCATAGCATTTCTGATAAAAACATTTAAAAACTATTATGAGCAAACTCACTATATATAGTAAACCATAAAATTAGGATTAAAACTATAGTTACTATATATACACAGATATAGATATAGATGTGTGTGATTTATTTACCAATAAATAAAAATTGACACTTCACAAATTGTGAAAATAGTTATTTTCACCCCATTTTGAAGTCCTGCTAAGTTTTTTACACCGCCCAATAAAAAGTTAAGTTTTTCACCCCGGAAAGTGCGAAAGACATTGTGCGATGAATATGCGATAGTTGCGAATTGACATTGTGCTAAAGTTAGAAGTGCGAAGGCATTCGCATATCCCTTCGCACTTTATGGGGTGGAAAAAGTTAAAATGCAAAGGCATTGTGCGAACGAATATGCGATAGTTGCGCGATGACATTGTGCGAAAGTTAGAAGTACGAAGACATTCGCATATCACTTCGCACTTTCTGGGGTGGAAAAAGTTAAAGTGCGAAGTCATTGCGCGATGAATATGCGACAGTTATGCAATTTATATCCGATAGTTATGAAGTCATTCGCATAACCTTCGTACTTCCCCGGGTGAAAAAGTTAGATTGTTAGTGGGAGGTGTGAAAAACTTAATGTATCTTTGTATTGGGGTGAAAAATATTTTTTCCCTCACAAATTTGTGTTTGTATATAACATAACTCAATCTATACTCAAAATTTAACTCAACTCTAACTCAATCCCACTATCCTTAATATTATCAATATAACTAAATAATATCAACTCATCATTCTTACACATCTCATCAACTTTAACTAGTGCGTACCCCGTGCGATGCACGGGTAAACAATATTAAATAACAATTATAAATGGGTTTCGAGTTCGAGTCACGTAAGTGAGGAATCACTATTGATACCTTTTTTAAAGAGAATTATGATGTCACGTGTGAAAATTTGAGTACGCATGGTTTCAAAAATTATTATTATTATTATTATTATTATTATTACTATTATTATTATTATTATTATTATTATTATTATTATTATTATTATTATTATTATTATTATGGTTACACTGAGTAATCCGTGCTACGCACGGCTATAATAATTTATGGAACTTATATGTTTATTTATTTTTATATAGCGAAGCCTGTCTATTTTTTTTTTTTAAAAAAAAATTGAAGCCCAATTATGTTCCACAATATAATGTACTCAACTAAACTGGTCGGGTCAAACTTAACAAGCCAGTAACATATTATTGAATTGACCCAAATAAAGCCCAACCATGAAAGCAGACCGAATAATTAAGTGCGACCCAACATCTCAACCCATTATGGCTTAAAAGAATGGATCAGACGGTCTGAATTAGTCAACCGATATCTAACGGTCAGAAATCAAAGATGCCATCTAAAAAAGTTAAAAATATCCAAATTATTAGGGTTATGTCATTACTTCTCCTCCTCCCACCGCTTTCCTTCTCTATTCTCTCTCTTATATCACTTATAGAAACTTGATAAAATATTCTTTCAAATTTTCACAAAAATGCTCTATTTTTTAAACAATCAATCACATCTATTGCGAGTCGATTTCTTATGTTAGATAGATCGATATTATATCTTGTCTTTATGTTTAGAAAGATGCCTCTATTATTTTATTTCTTTTGATTGTCATATTTTTTGTGTGTTCTAAGATTTTATTTTTGTTTTTTGGTCGAAACCGATGAAACACTGACTCTGTTATTACTATTTCGACCATTTCAAGAGCTTTTCTTTTGAATATCGAGACTTATGTAATGTGTTGTTTAATTATTTTGATTCATATTGCTTTTTTTTTTGTAGATTTTAGAAATTTCGTAAGTTTAATGGACGGATCTGGAATAATTTTTCAATTTTCGGTCGAAATCCGAATTTTATTCAGTAAAAAAAAATGAATACCGGAAATGAAGTCTCATTTTCTATTTGAATGTCTATTTGTTTTAAAAAATGTTACAAATCTTAGTCGGTTATATAAATTTTGACTGTATTTTGAAATTTAATTTAAAATAAGGGTCTTAATCTCTAAAAATGTGTTCAAATCTTTTGTGATTGAACAAATCCCAAAATAATTTTAACTATCATTTCATATCATTTTTCTCTTACTTTTATATCAAATCAACTTTAAATGTTTTATTTTAAATATTATTTCAATATAAACTCAAAACCTCACTAACAATTAACCATATATTTTTTTTTTTCAAAATTAACCATGATTTGAGCAGAAATTTTTGTATACAAACACACTCTTAATTGTCCTAAAATTCAACTAATTACCTATGTAATTTTCAAAATAAATTTATGAAAATTGACAAAATATAAATAAAAAATGTCTTAGATTTTTAATATATTATTTCATATGGCACCAACCACAACTTAAATTTGTCTACACCGCCACCAACTTCTAATTGAACACAAATTGATTAGATAGACTTGGAAAGTTGCAAAATCTCAAATTCTACTTTCATATTTAAAAAAGATTACACAACCCAAAGTGTCATGGTAATGAAATGACACTTGTGCTAAGATTCTCTTTAAGTAAACGAAAAAAGAGAGAGGAACTTCAACTGATTGGGTAGATCACACAAGAATGTACAAAAGAGCACCAACACATTTATGTTAAGAGAGCATCTTTGATTTTCCATTAACACAAACAAAAGATGCATAGGCATGGAGTAGTTCCAAACCAAAACCCAGAAATGGAAGAAAAAAAGAAAAAATCCTTCATGTCTGATGTCCCTCATTGATTTTCCATGTACACCAAAACGAACTCATCAACAGGAGGGGTGTGTCTTCAAGATTTAGGTGTTTCGAACAATTTTAAATATCATACAAAGGACCAATTCACGAAGGAGAAGGCCAGACAATGGACTGTGTTCTCATTTGCACCAAAAACTTTCCACACAATGGCATGCTCGTACGATATGTGCCGACCCATTGTCGACATGCAGATGCCACCTGGCAAGTGCGCAAATCCCTGTAAACGCCAATTAAACCAAAAAACATTTTAGGTGAATTCCCAGAAATTATAAAACAATCTTGAATATTACAGCAATAACCCAATGTACCTTTTGGAATACAAAACATCACTCAAAATTTGTATTATATATCGAGCAATTAAACAAATTGTCAATAATTAAAGAGTGCATCCATTGTGTTAAACAATTTCAATAATTTAAAAATAAAATAAAATGAGGATTGATGAGATTACCTGCTGCATGATCTTGGCAAATTCCGAAAACAACACCTTTCGTCCAGAATCATCAAATATCTTGTCGAGAGTGAGATCTTGCAAGGCAACAAGTGTAGTCTCCAGCATATCTAGTCCAGCTTGGTTCGCAAATATAAATACAGGAACGGCCTGGTAAAACCAAAAAGTTTTAAGAGCCGGTTATAATCATGCAAATAACTTTCTATAGATACAACAAGAGTATATAAAAAAACAAAATTAACAAGTAACATGAGAAACGGAAAACAAGTCGGAAGCAGTACCATCAATGAGCAGCATAAGATGGCATCTTGATGATGCCAAAGTGATTTTAATACTCCTTCACCACTCGTAGACTCAGCTCCTCCTCCTAGCAGCTCAGCTCCCGAATGGTAGCTTCAAGGAAACAAATTGTTAGCTTTAAGGCATGCTTGTTTACAAATTAATTTACTCACATTTAATTCATACTCAAAATCTAACTCAACTTTAACTCAACCTCACTATCCTCGATATTATTCATATAAATAAATAATACAAACCAATCATTCTTACACATCACATCGACTTTAATTCACTATTCATCCACTCACGTAATTTTAATTACCTATCATTTCCAATCATTTATATCTCCTACTTTTACATCAAATCAATTTTAATCATTTTATTTTAAATATTATTTTAATACATTCTTAAAATCCCATTAACTACTAACCGTACCACCTTTTTCAAAATTAACTCTACTTAACCAAAAAAACTCATTTTGAATGGATTACTTGATAAACAAGCGCGCCCTAAATATTTTACGATTTTGAAATTACAGATATCCCCTCTAAAAAAATCCATTTTTCAAGACAAAATATAAATAGAACAAGATCATTTCTTCCTCTTCTTTAGTCTTTGTAACTTCTATTCATATATATATATAGATTCACATTTTTTTTTCTTAAAAAAAAAAGTAAAGAAGTTAAACCTGAAGTAGGTAGTTATAAATGTAAATTTTCCAGTAAAGTAATATACCTATAGCTGTGGCAAATCCAATGTGCGAGTGTTAGGGCTTCTGGGGAAGATGGAGATAGTTTAGGGGGGGCAATTGGGTCCAATCCCGAAGGAGATATAGCAATGGCAACTCTTTGTACAGACGAAATCACGCTGCGTACATATTGACGGGCCATGGAAGCCATGTTGTCCAGTAAATTGGTCTCGTACGGGAATTGGAAAGCAATGGTTAGTATTGCACGCGGGCTGCAAGGTGATGACGATGCTGCAGCATTGTTTTTGCCGCTACTGCTCATTGTGGGGCCCACTTCAAGGCTTGATGCCAAGTCTAGTGTTTTGTGTGAAGACAATCGATCCTGCACCTCACCCTGTCAAAAGCCGAAAAAAGAAAAACAAAAAAAATTAACTAAGCCCGTGAACATCATAACGTGGATTGGTGAGAATTTGTCGAATAACATGGCCTTTGCGTAAAACTGTAATTTGAAGCTACATTCTAACAAATATATTTAGCACTTTTTTCACAAATTTCTGATTAATGCAGGTGCAATTTATAAAATTGAAATAAAATCTCAAGTGGGTAGTTTTAGTGATCAAACGTAACTCGAAAAGTTTATTATGGGTCAAATTAATAACGATAGAGAATATGATCAATTATGCATCGAAGCAAACCAACTCAACTGGTTTTGATTCAAGCGGGATAACACGAAAACCGGAAGGCAGTAAATGGGCATCGTCCGGAAACATTTCGTCAATTGGTGCAAAGACAAGCTCAGAGCATGCCCCCTCTGCATTCTCATCAATCCCTCTGCACATCTGTAAAGACACAGGATCGAGTCACAAGGTCAGCTCATTAATTTAACAAAAAAGAAAAAGAAAAAGCTTCAAGAGTTTTTATTGATCTATCACAAGTAACAAAATAAAGAACCTACCTGCAGAAGATGGATGTCTCGAGACATGAACGCATCCTCGTGACTGAGAGAGTGTCCTTCCAGCCGAATAACTTCAAGCATCTATAGTGAAAGGTATTTTGAAATTATAAAATTTAAAAAATCAAACTATCATTTTTAATATTATCAACCAGGTTAATCACAACAGAGCAAGACAAACCTCTTCATGTTCAATCGTGTGACCCAAAGGCATGATAATTTGGCTACCCGTAAATCGAGTAGGCCTCATTCCCGGATAAGTGTACGAGTTTTTCAAAGATGCAGCAGAATAGGCATCAACATTGAAATCGGCCCATTCTGAACGGTGCTCCCTCAAAAATCGAACAAGAACTGCCGCAGGCACATTCTGGCCACAAATAACAAAAATCAGGACATGTTATTAAAACCGAGCAAGTCGAGATATTTCCAATAACCCCAAATTCTTGTAAAGATGAAGGAGAAAAGATTTAATATTAGATAACACAGAGATCATCACTACCTGAAGCAGCATAGATGCTTTAGCACATAACACGCCACCAATCATGGAAATATTATTTGAAGCACCCGTCACATTCTTAGCCGAACTAACGGCAACTATTACATCATCCCCACCATCATCACAGTTCAGCAAAGACCACCCGTCGTCATTGAACCCGTTAATAGCGTCGTTAAAGCCTCTGCATTAGTAGAACATAATATTATTAAAAAAAAAATGGAAAAAGAAAATGAAAAATGCTTTAAGCTAACCATGTGTTATGGGTGCATCGAATTTTACCTGCTCAACCTTTGGCTGAAAGTTCTTAGGACAGCAGGTTGCCTGCCGAGACCATATACGACTTCGCCACTTGTCTCCTGAGCTATCTGTCGTATGTATCTAAGTGCCTGACGAAATAAAACATTAATTAATCAGTCATTAGATTGTCATGGAAAAACTACATCAACCAAGGGCTATTTATTTACTTAAGAAGAAAAACATAATCATTGTAACTCATTTAACATCCAAAATTTGGTGCAAAAATCATCAACCACTTACAGCAATAGTTGTTCTCTGTGCCAAAACTTTCGATGATTCATATAATGGCCTGAGCACCTCGGGTACGCTCCATGCCTGCACAAATTAAGGTGATCCACAAATGTTAAGAGTCATGTTCAAGAGATCTAAGGACCTTTACACACAGTCTCTAAGTTGAGGAAGGTGGATTATAACCTCCAAATTAAGGTGATCCACAATGTGAATAATTGATCCTCCACCCTCACATGGCCTGATCAAATATCCGGAGGGAAAAACTTCGCCTCTCACAAACTGAGAAGCTGCAGCTGCACTTGGGCCGGCCCCTGTCCCGGAAAGCGATCTCTCACATATCTTAATTTAAAAAAAAAAACATTGAGAAAAATTATCAAAATTGCACATTTATGAAAAAATAAAAATGAAAAGTAAAACTTCTATATAATCATTCAACGCTTAAGGCGCTTATTAACATCATATTAATCTAATTGTACTTATATGTATGAATAGCAAACAATACTTTATGAAAACAGCAAGTGAGCAGTGATTAAAGGTTTAGCAAGAGTGTTCACCATGGAGATTGTTATAAAGATCTTTGTTTTGGTTTAAAAGGTACAACTAAAACAGAATCAAAAGTGGAAATCAAGATTGGCATTTAACCGAAATATAATGAAGTGGAAATTGACATTTGACAAAACTAATATTTGATTACTTTTATTGACAGGTCCTCGGATTTCCTTATTTTTATAACATCGCAATCACTGCTTTAGTAAATGAAAACTGGCCAAGAAAGGTCTTCAGACTACGCATTAAGATGATGACACAAAGATAACTATACCACGAGACTGCCGTTCTCCAAGGTAGTCGTGTATCGAAGAGTCCAAAAGCCTCGGGCGGGAGCTAAAGTGGTTGGAGCATACGCCTGAAAGAAACTTCAGGTTATTTTACTTCTCCAAATTGCTTAAATGTTTTAAAAAATTAATAATGGAAACAAAAATTCCCGCCAAATTCACCTGTGTATACAAAAGCTCGATAGTTCCGCCATTTCCGGCAGGAAACATGGTGAAAACCTCAAGGCTCCGGCAGTCACGGAACCAACATGGACGATCTTTAAGGATCTCAGCAATCTGTCAAAACGATTAAAAGAAAAATGTAAAAAAAAAATTGCTGCTAAACGGAATTAGGTGTCGAAAGACAAGAAACAAATAATGATGGGAGTAGCGAAAAGTTATTCTCACCTTTGTAGGTTCTAAACTTACAAGACCACACGCTCGAGCGGCCACACCAGAAATACTATGTGAGATGGCAAAGATCCCAACCGAACCCGGACCAGGCTAAACACAATTATGAATTAAGAGAAGTTCCTTCAGTTTTGGGGTTTAAAAAACAAGAGATTAGACCAAAAAAAAAAAAAAAATGCATTTTTGATGAGTTAGACCTTCATCCCAGGCATCTGGACCCAATCAACGGCAGTTCCTGTAGCCTTTGAAAGGAACTCCGCCAATGTCTCCTCTGCAATCGCGAGGAGTCTGCCAAAAGAAAATAGAACTTAAGTTGATGTGCTCAGAAAATTTCTTGATATATTCAGGAATTCATACGTAAAAGAAAAAATAGACGAATTCTTAAATTACCCAGCAGGGTTATTGGCGTCTCTGATGGAATGCTGAGGGGTCGTGACTGCCGACTCGCAACTTGCATCAGTGCCAGGTGCCTGTAGAAATGTTGACAAATTTATAGCATTTTGAAATCCAACCAAAATTTTTATAGCAAAAGGAAAAAGAATCTCTAGTCATGAATAGATATAATATATGTATAAGCTGTGATCAATATCTAGTCCTGTGAGAGTTCCAAGGAAAATCTACANGCATAAAATACATAATTGCAGAAGATACCGAGCATGAGCTTGCTACAATGTTTATTGCTTCGAGCAGCAACATATACAGAAGCAGATCATAATAAGGGTCAAATTGATCTATTAGCAAACATGAATATGAATATGAATAAGAATGATAAATTAAAAAAGGGGGAGATTACATACAGTGTGTAATTGTTGCCGCATGAAGCCATTCTCCGAAACCAGTTGAGACACTTGCTTCTGAAGGCGATCATTTTCCTCCACCAACAGCTTGTTCATGGCAGTCAATTTTCGGTTCACACTATGCAGTCTGCTAGATTCTTTTCTCTGCTTCTCTCGACACCTACATTATTAGTTCACAAGTCAAAAGAAGTTTTCTAGCCTACCTATTAACCATTTGCATTGATCAAACCAAAACATAAGAAAAGAAAATGAGATCTGAAGCACAAATATTCCAAATTATTAATCTCAAAGACCAATACCAAAGAGTTAAAGTGGTGACATGAAAATATAAAATAAAATAAAAAATTTTGATAACTAAATCTAACCATATAACTCATTGAGGAAAAAAGATAAATGGATGAAATAATAGAAATGGAACTGCTTAAAAATGCAAAATATATCTCAAACTATGGAATCTTAAATATAGATAATTGACAAACAAAAAAACTCCCGGATAGTTTTGGCCTTCCTTATAAGAGAGAAAATGGCAAGCGCCTCCAGTAATATTTCATTTTATAAATATACCTTCGGTTTTGAAACCAGACTTTGATCTGCTTGGGCTCGACGTTGGAAAGAATAGGGCACTCACGGATGAGCTGCTGGCGGCGTAGTGAGCTGGGCTTAGGGCACTCGGCGTAGACTCTCTCCAGAGCCTCCACCTGCTCCGCCGTGTACCTTACATACTTTCCGGCGGCATCAAGATGTTTATTCAGACTCCCACTACTGTTATCCCGTTGATGCTGTGCCACCATAGCCATTTCTTCTTCTCAATTCTAAAACCAAAAAAGACAAACTTTCCCAAATTAAAAAAAAAAAAAAATAATAATAATAATAATACAGCTAGAGAATTCTATGAACACTCTTGCGACACACACCACCGATCTGACAAAGATTCTCTCTAAAGCAGATCTTATATTTGGAAATTGTTTAGTGATAATAATAATAATAATATAATTTGTTGGTGGAGATAACATGGACGATGTTGATTGAGGATTGTTGGGGGGTTTTGATGTGGAGAAAAGTTAGAACAGCCAAAATAGCTCAACGAAAGCTAACCAGGCTTGTATGCATCATATGCATACTGACAAAATAATTTTTTCTTTTCATTCTTCTCACACTAGGAAGAGCCGTAGAAATAAAAAAAAACCCAGATAATATAATTATTAATATAAACATAACGTTCCAAAACTCTCACCTAATGGAAGGTGAAAAACATCTACCTTCACCACGCAAATAGACAGAAAGCAACAAAATTTATCCGGTTTGTTTTCTTCCTTCCTTTGGCACTGATTACTGTGGGAATCTCTCAGCTTTATTACGCGAACGCACAGAGAGAGTAGGTCACCAAACAAATTAGAACTTGTTCTACCCTGTGCTCGCCAGCTGATTTCTCTCAGAACTCCACAAGCCGCTTCGAGCCAAGAACGAAAGCTGAGAATAATGGTACGGATATATCAAGAAACGGCCCTTTTCAAGTCCCAAAAAGAGGAGCTTTTTTGTTTTTGAAGCTGGGATTTGGAGATCGTGATCGATGTTCGTATCTGTGTGTAGAAAAATACAATATACAGAGAGAGAGAAGGATTTTGAGGCAAGTAGAGAAAAAGAGAGGAATTTGTTGTGATGAGTTTGTGCTCGAAAATCGAGAATGGGGGCAAAAGCACAGAGCAGCACAAGTGTTTTTAAATTTATTGATGGTCTTTGTCTGCTCTACACTTGTTACTGTGCCTCTACTACCTCTCTCTGGAATTCTTCTCCACCTTTTTCTTTTTCTTTTATATATTTTCTAACAAGCCACCAAAAAAAAGGTAAAAAAGAGAAAAAGGAAAATGGTGAGATTAATAAATGAAATTGCAGTGTTGAAAAATGTTTGAAATGACGTGAGGAGGACCAAGATTTGGCCTGATTTTTGTCTGCCTTAAATGCATTTGTCAAATCACGCCATACAAAATCTTTTCTGCCACCGGCTATAGCTCTTTCCCTCCCTCCCTCTATTTTCTTCCTTCTGGATATGGCCGGCTTGAAATTTTTGTTCTTCCTTTTGAAATATTTTTCATAGACTAACACTACTTGTATTCTTTCTTGGTGTGTGTGTGTTGACTAGATAGAATGCGCAAATACTTAGGTGCTAGGTGTGCCAGACTTTTGTAAAATACAGCTCCTTCAAAAGCACGTGAAGTAAGGAGATAGATTATTATTTTTTTTAAATGGGACATGTGTCCCATTTTTATTGGGTAATGAATTTTATATATCATATTATATAAATTAAATTATCATTCATATTTTGTATCAAAAAATAAAAATAAAAATACCAAAATTCATAATTTTTCATTCTCTACAAATAGAGACCACATTTGATATTTTTTGGAACATAATTAATTTATCATTTTTTACAATTAATTTATCTTATTGGAAGATTATGACGCAAATCTATAATTAGATGAATATGTTACATAGTAAGATGAACATGTTATAGAGTAAGATGAACATATCATAGAATAAGATGAAAATGTTACATTTTCAGAGATGAAATTTAGATGGACATGTTATAAAATAAGATGAACATGTTACATAACAAAATGAACATGTTATAGAATAAGATGAACATGTTACATACACAATAAGGTGAATATGTTACATAATAAAATGAACATTTTAAATAATAAGATGAACATGTTAAATAATAAAATGAACATGTTATAGAATAAGATGAACATGTTACATACACAATAAGGTGAACATGTTACATAATAAAATGAACATGTCATAGAATAAGATGAACATGTTACATACACAATAAGGTGAACATGTTATAAAATAAGATGAATATGTTACCAAAATAAGATGAACATGTTATAAAATAAGATGAATATGTATTATTTCAATCTGCAATCTGTAATATGTTCATCTTATTTGAAAACATATTCATCTTGTTATGTAACATGTTCATTATATGTCAGTATAATAAAATAATTACGAAAAAACGAAAAATTAGTTATGCGCAAAAACCTATCAAATGTGGTCTTTATTTATAGATAATGAAAAATTATGAATTTTGGTATTTTTATTTTATTTTTTTAATATAAACAATTAATGATATTTTAATTTATGTAATATGTCTCATTTTTCGATTAAAAAAGGAAAAATGGAAATATGCACTACACTCTCTAAATTTTCTATTTTTTTGGGGTGAAGGGGCGCGTGCAAATTTGCCCTGACACACCTAGCTAGGTGTGCCAGGGCACACGATAGTGCTACTGGATAGAATGGGCTAAAAGAAATGGATCATAATCTTATTCATTTTTTGTATTTATAATTTTTTGTCACGTATATGTATATTTTCCACTTTTAAAGTGGCTCATGAAGAAAAAATGGTGCATTGTAAAATATTGGGGCTCAATTGTTTTGTATGATGGAATTAGATTAAATTAATACATGGTGAGTTGCTTGTACTGTATAAACAACAACAACAACATAACCTTTAGTCTCAAGCTAGTCGGGGTAGACTAGAGATGAAACCCAAGAGAAACACAACAAGACTCGAACCAAAAGGAAGAGATCGAAAAAGAAAAAAACGAGAGAGAGAGAGAGAAAGGAGCAAAAGTCACGGTTCTGACACGTTGATAGCAAGCCTCCAAGCGCTCCTATCCACCGCTAAATCCTTGGAGATATTCCAATCTTTAAGGTTTCTCTTAACCGACTCTTCCCAAGTGAGTTTAGGCCGACCTCTACCTCTCTTAACATCCTCGACCCGCTGTAGAACTCCCCTACGCACCGGTGTATCAGGAGGCCTCCGTTGGACATGTCCGAACCACCTCAGCCGATGTTGAACCACTTTCTCCTCAATTGGGGCCACCCCGACCCTATTTCGAATATCCTCATTCCGGATTCTATCCCTTCTTGTGTGCCCACAGAACCAACGTAACATACGCATCTCTGCTACACTTAGTTGTTGGACATGTTGCCTTTTTGTAGGCCAACATTCAGCACCGTATAACATCGCCGGGCGAATCGCCGTCCTATAGAACTTACCTTTTAGCCTTTGTGGCACCCTCTTATCACAGAGAACGCCCGACGTCTGACGCCATTTCAACCAACCGGCTGCAATTCTATGCCTAACATCAGCATTAATGCCGCCATCCTTTTGTAGCATCGATCCCAAATACCGGAAAGTCTCCTTCTTGGCCACCACTTGCCCGTCAAGGGTAACGTCACCATCATCATGTGAAGCCATGCTGAAAGCGCACGTCATGTACTCGGTCTTCGTCCTACTAAGTCTGAAGCCTTTCGACTCTAACGCGTCCTTCCACAGCTCCAACTTCCTATTTACCCCTGCTCTACTCTCGTCAACTAGCACCACATCATCAGCAAAGAGCATACACCAAGGGATATCACCTTGTATGTCCCTTGTGACCTCATCCATCACCAAGGCAAATAGATAAGGGCTCAATGCTGACCCCTGGTGTAGTCCTATTTTAATTGGGAAGTCGCTGGTGTCGCCCCCACATGTTAGGACACACGTCATCGCATCCTTGTACATATCCTTAATGAGGGTAATGTACTTAGATTGGAATTTGTGCTTTTCTAAGGCTCACCACATGACATTTCTCGGTACTCTGTCATGAGCCTTCTCTAGGTCGATAAAGACCATGTGCAAGTCCTTCTTTTGGTCCCTATATCTCTCCGTCAACTGACGTATTAGGAAAATCGCCTCCATGGTCGACCTTCTAGGCATGAACCCAAATTGGTTTTGGGTCACACTCGTCACTCGTCGAAGGCGATGCTCGATAACCCTCTCCCAGAGCTTCATCGTATGGCTCATCAACTTAATCCCACGGTAGTTACCGCAGCTTTGAACATCTCCCTTGTTCTTGAAGATTGGTACTAAAGTACTTCTCTTCCATTCATCAGGCATCTTGTTTGACCGGAAAATGAGGTTAAAAAGTTTAGTTAGCCATGCTAACGCTCTGGCGCCCAAGCATCTCCACACCTCAATGGGGATACCATCAGGGTCCATTGCTTTACCTCCCTTCATCCTCTTCATAGCCTCTCCGATCTCTGCCTCCCGAATTCTTCTCACCACGCATCTATTGGTATCCTCAAATGAGTCATCCAACTCCAGGGTAGGACCCTCACTCTCTCCATTAAACAATTTGTCGAAGTACTCTCGCCATCTGTCCTTGATCTCCCCATCCTTCACCAGTGGCCGATCCGACCCATCTTTAATGCATATGATTTGGTTGATGTCCCTTGTCTTCCTCTCCCGAATCTTAGCCATCCTATAAATGTCCTTCTCCCCCTTCTTCGTGCCTAGGTGCTGATAAAGGTCATCATAGGCCTGACCTTCGCTACACTCACGGCACGCTTTGTATCCCTTCTCGCTATTTTATAGCTCTCAATGTTGGTTGCACTCTTGTCAAGGTGGAGGCGCTTGAAACACTCCTTCTTCTCCTGAATAGCCCTTTGCACCTTGTCATTCCACCACCAAGAGTCCTTCGCTTCCTACTTGCCTCCCCTACTCACACCAAGGACTTCTGCAGCCACCTTCCGTACACATGTTGCCATCTTTAGCCACATGTCCTCTGCATCTTCTCCTTCTTCCCAAGGCCCCTCACCTAGCATCCTATCCCTAAACGTCTGCGCCGCTTCCCCTTTAAGCTTCCACCACTTCGTTCTCACGGTCTTGGCACATTTGTTCTCGTGGACACGTGTTCGGAATCGAAAATCCGCCACCACCAGCTTATGCTGGGGGACAACACACTCCCCAGGTATCAACTTACAATCTACGCAAGCGCTCCTATCCTCCCTCCTTGCAAGGATAAAGTCGATCTGACTTGCGTGTCGTCCACTATGGAAGGTCACCAGGTGAGATTCCCTCTTCCTAAAGAGGGTGTTCGCTATCAACAAGTCGTAGGACATCGCAAAGTCTAACACACCCTCCCCCTCTCCGTCCCTACTACCATACCCAAACCCTCCGTGCACTCTCTCGAAACCTACCTTAGTCGCACCCACATGGCCATTTAGGTCCTCTCCTACAAAGAGCTTCTCGCTGGCAGGCACCGTACTAACCAAGGCATCCAGGTCCTCCCAGAATTGCCTCTTTGCGCT